ATATATATATATAAATGTCAGCGAGGTGATAACAGAAATCAGTGACCATCTCACTCTTAAAATCCAACCCGCGTTCACACTCGTTGGCTGCGTCATCATTTCCGGGAAAATCAAAATGGTACATGTATCCATAAACAAGGAAAAGAATGACTTAACACGGAGCGACTTCCAAGGAAATAAAGTCGAACCGCACGAACAAGATGCTTCTAGCTGTGTGTGCCATGTACATCGTCACATGTGGAATCGCCTCCTGGCCAACTACATTCCTCAGTATGGTTACTACGCAATGGCCTATTAGGCCTATCGTTAGGCCTATTGGTCGATTTGAATATTGCGACTTATACCAACAGCTCCTGGAATTTCATTGCGTATGTTGGCCTGAACAAGTATTTCAGGGACACTTGGAAATCACTCGGCTAAGCTCAACACAGAATGAATTCATTCAATAATGATAGTGTCTGCGGGTCCAATGCAAGATGTTGAATAATTAAGGTTCCCCCACTTTTTAAATGTCACGGGGATCAGACTGGAAAAATGAGAGGCTTAAAACGCGTGTGGCTATCAATCATTATCATTTTAAGCTGTCGGTGCTACGTTGCCTCATAGATTGAATAAGTGTTCTTGAGTGAGCTGGGGTATTGCCTGCCATTCTCACTTGAAAATAAGAAAGAATTCGTCCTCGTCGTTTGGGCACAGGTTGGTGGACCCTGGTGTGTCGCCTGAGAATGTTACATGGGATTGAGATCAGGTGAGCAAACCGGCCAGTCTATTCTGTACACTCGACGATGCTGCAGAAAATTGTCTACAAGAAGAACACGATGAGAACACTCGTCCTGGAAAATGGCGCTTGGTTCCCACAGCTCTTACACGTATAGCAAGCAGGGCAGTGTGTTGAAGAATCTTGTCCCTGTAGAGAATTCCAGTCAGATTGCCATGAATACGATGGAGCGGTGGGCGGTGTTCTGTTGTAAGACCAATACACGCCCCCCCCCTTTTTTTCACACACACCATGACAGACCCCCCGTTCGTCATGGCACTCCAGAAATGAATCATGTCGTCACTGAAGAATAGGGTGCACCTTGATTCGTCTATGAATAACACACTAGATGGCGTATCATCTATAGTAATAACGAGCAGGCTACACCAGATCCGTCGAGAATTGCTGTGAGCCTGGATCAGGGGCAGACGAACTGAGAGTTGCATTGCTTTCTTTTGCTAAAAGTAAAGTTGCTTATTCTATGAAAACGCTTACAATTTTATAGGTTTAAAGTCCTTGAAAAGTCTCGTTTTGTTCTAAGAAAAAATTGTGAGTGCACCCCACCCTCCCCAGCCACCAACACAGTTGGCTATCTTCATTCCAAGAGCCATTAGTTGCTTATTCTATTCCAAAATAAATTCCCATGTTATCTTTTGTAGGTGTCTTTTGTATGAGTGTTTTACGGCGCTCGCAACTGCATAAGGTCAAATGAGTGCGCGGGACACATTAAACATTTTCAGGTGTTTGGAAATTTTGTATTTTGGGCGGGTGGCAGCAGAAGCTTACTCTTATCGATTCTGGATCATCAAGGGATCTGTAACAAGCACAACTTGCACACAGGACTTTCGAGAATTTTTGCCCTTATCTGAGAAGGCAAGGTGTTAGATCTTACCTACCCTGAGATCAGGGGTGTGGCTGAAAGACAGTAGTAAGAAGGAGCCAAGGAGTAGCAGTAGAAAGGGTGCAGAAAGAGTCAGGAGCCCAAAGGAGGGGAGAAAAATAAAGGTAGGGGGGGGGGGTGGAGATGGCAGAAAATGGAGACAAAAACAGACGACAAATGAGCTGTGAAATGCAACAGTAGATCTACCTGTTTCAGCTCTAAAAGACAACATTAGTTTTAGTAAGTGTTTTACGGCACTTGCAACACAATAAAGTCATATAAGTGCCAAAGATTAGAGGTGTTACAAGAGAGTAACAAACACAAAAAAAAAGGAGGAGAGACAAGGACGATAGATGTTTGCTAGGAAAGAAGAAGCAAACCACACAAGAGCACCCGCCAACCACCCACCGACAACATCAACAGGTCAAACTGTATAAAAGGCAAATACACAAGAATGAGCAATACTCAAATAGCAATGGAAAACATTTATTTCTTTATAAAAATATAAAACAATGGACGGATTTCCCTCAAATAATCAGTATAATGCCCAACATGGACTTCTTTTATGTACATAGAAACGAAGACCAAAAATTAAGTGTTTCAACAGCAAACACTTAGGCCTATTGATTGAAAGAAACTTCTGCAATGTCATGAAAGGATAAACAAACTGGATACAAATATGATGAGTAATACTGATGTTTTTGAGCAATACTGAGCATGACGTACACACAACTTGATTTCGAAAACTACTGGACATCCTGAAAAGTGTAGGCTACTGGTTTGTATGTACACTTTGTTTTTTAATAAAATGTGTCACGACGAAGTGGAATCAGGCACTCGTCAATTTTTGGGCATGTGGAGATATTGGTATCATTAATTTGATACCTTATTCATTTGCATTGCTTTCACTGGAAAGATACTCATCTGTCTTGAATTATCGAGATAATTGCGATTGGGAAGGAGGTAGGGTCGTTTGGTTTCTGCGGTAAAATTAACGAGAAAATGGCCACCAAAGTTTGGTAACGTCAATAGGTTCAGAATCCTTGAAAACTGAAAAATCACATACTTTGTGCCTTTAAAAGAACGTTTTCCAGTAAAATTCACATGGAAATGTATTTTCATATGACTTAAAAGGTGTGGAGCGAAAAAACAAAAATTCGATAAATAAAAGTAGTCAAACTGGCGGAAAAATGCCTGTTTCTGCAATTTCATTGTCTTGACAAGTGCCTGATTTCACCAGGATGCCTCACAAATATGTTTTTTTAAAAAAGGCTTTTTAAAAAAATAAGCAAAAAAAGTATCTTTCAAGTTGCAAAGAGGGTACAGAATTTCACAACATCATTGCGGTTTTCCCTAAAAAATCTAATGAAAAATATAAGGCAATTCACACATGGTATACCTTTGTTAATGATGATAAACCTACATCATATAGACCTATGTGAGTATTTCTTGTGAGTGATTGCCATGATTTAACATATAAAAATGTCATTTGTATTTGATTTCCTCTATGTACTCAAAGAAAAATGAAATAAAAAGCATTTATGATACCACCAAAACTGAAGAATCAAACTACAAAAGTCACGAAGAGTAAAAATATAAGCTCAATACTCAAAATATTGGCGTTTAATATGAGAAATTATATTGTCTAACAAGCAGTCACTATTGTTAATTTGAAAGACCCAACCTCTATGAATTTACAAACAGTTCTTGTAGCCCTTTGAAATAAAATCACAAAATCTGAATTTGCTCCTATTTTAACAAACAACTGAAACAATGATAGCAAGATTCAAAAGCCTCAGGTCAAAGCTCAATAAATTTAATGAAGTGAAGGAACACCTATACAGAGGTACATCATTTTCAAAGCTCCCTAACGAAGGAGTACATGTGTTCAAGCCATAGAGAAGAACATAAACCCATCAGTTATCATTTACTACCTTGACGACAGCCCTTGTCATTTCATGTGGTCTGTACAATCACAAGTAAGAGTGGAAAAACAAAAGAAGTTTGTCTTTAAATTTACAATGCTCATTCGAAAATAAACCATTTATCAATCTCCAGTTGAAAATTATTTTTGATCTACTCTTATCTTTTAACTCCATAAAAATAATATGAACAATTGTTATATAGTCTAGCACGCACATAGTTAAAGAAGCGGGGAGCAAAAATCTTTCGATACGTTCCAACTTCGTTACGTACTTGTTTTAAATACAAAGAATTTACTTCATGTATAATTGTTCAGTGTGTGCATGCTTCACTAGTAAGTGTGTTTGCTATGTGTGTGCTAGACGGTAATTCCAAGTCTATTTATGGCATCTGTAAGGCTGTACCAACCACTCAATAATACAAGGATTAGCCAGCTGAAGTTAAAGTGGATGGATAGCCTTGACACAATGAATTTTTATTTGATAAAGGCATCAAAGGTACACGCAGACTGAGATCACTCCAAATGTTTTAACTATACTCCCATACCGTCATTTATTACTTGACATAGAGTACACTATGTCGAATTCCTCTTTCAGTCATTTTCATTATCTTCATCAGTTCCAACTAGTATAAAGTCCAGTCCCTGTGAAATAAAGAAAAATAGCATGTCATGTGTTAGTATGGGAAAACAAATGACATTGCAGTTTATGTAATCTTAAAAAATAAGCAAGTGTGTGTCTGAGTGCATTCACATGTACATGTTTACAGGAATTATCTTTCATACTCATTTAATTCATTTAAAATGAACAGCACCAGACAGAGGGGTTAAAAGCCCAGCGATATCAACAACAACAACATAAAGAACAGCACATAACTAATGTACAAGAGCACCATCAAGGGTAATATATGAAAGTGTTGTTTTTTTTCATTACCACATAAAAGTACACAGTGCCAGTTCATTATGCAATCAATTGTTGGGTTATCTTTTCTTGTATACTGATATTGTTTAAGAATCTTCAATAATTACCCTGAAAAACATATTTTCACTGTTTCATGAAGTCAGAAAACAAATAGCAACAGATGTTTAGTCATTATTCAGAAAGAAATTCTCAGCTTGCTTTTTTTTCCCTCAAACATTTCTGTTAAATTTTCTAAAGGCAAAAAATATGAAAACTTACTTCTGGTTTGAGGAAATCCATTGTACAATACATGTATCCGGAGAGAGAAAGAGAGAGAGAGAGAGAGAGAGAGAGAGAGAGAGAGAGAGAGAGAGGGGGGGAGAGAGGGAGAGA